GAGTCCTTTAGGCTACTATAACATGGCTGGCGTTTTCATTTTGATAAGAATGGCTTCCTCTGGAGAATGTGCAACGCAACTCAAACGAGGCTAAGCAAGGATTGTAATGTTAAACTGCTGGGAGGGTGTTAGTGCTTCCTTGGTAGTCTCTGCCTGTATGTGTATGGAAGGGAGCAGCAGTCAACTCCTGACCTGTGCTGCGAGGGAGACTTGTATTCTGCTCTGTAAAAGATGTTCTTTTTTTCTTCTCTTTTGTAGGCCTTCTGGTTGCCAACTATCGATGACTAATTCCTATGCTGCAGCTGCTGTCAGGTGACTTCCATACGGCTAACAGCAGCATACTCTCACAAGGATAGTGTTGGAATTGCCTAGATCTCCTTGACTGTGTTCCCACTCCTGTGTCTGTTTCCATATGTCTTACCTTTATTTGCCGCGTTCCTTTGCAAGGACTCTTCCACTTGGCCTCTTAGTATGTTCGGAAGCGGCATGCGACTCTTCCTTACCTTCCAGTCCGTGCCCAGCAGGCTTCACCTGAATTTGGAACTGGCACAGTGTTATTTCTGAGAGCAGCGGAGTCTGATTTATATACAAAATGCTTGTGGCAGTTTTTAAGCTATAATTGTGTTCTCTTCTTTCTCTAAGTGCACAATGCTGTGGATGTTCCACGGTGGAACGTGCAGTCTTTCCCCAGAAGTGCATGTTTTTCACATCTGGGATCTCTCTAGCTTCATTGCAGTCCACAGATGCAAAGTTATTCCTGTGCCAAACGTGAGCGCTGACTGTTTTTAACTCAAATAGCAGGTGCTGGATTCTTTTCCAGTGGAACATGTGCTGAAAGAGTGTGTGACGGTAAATATGCGTTACACAGCCTATCGTCATTTTTTGGCATTTTAGCGTGCAGCAAAACATACAGGTTTTGTCCACTGCCAGAGCTTGAAGAAGCCTCCCTGCTGTTTGCTGTACCAGCATCCCAGAGGGCACACACGGTCCTGAAGAGGTCTGGTCAGTGTCCCAAGCAATAAAGGAATCTGTCAGCAGGAAGATGGAGAAACCAAACTAAGACTGAAATCAGTCTGCCTGTGTATCTTCCTTATGTATCATCTTGGCTGATCTTACTTGTAAATATTGGGGGAGGAGGGGAGGGTAGTGGGAATGGGCCATATTTTTTTACTTTTAGATATTAAAGACTATGATGTGGGCCAGTATTGTGGGCTTTCTAGGCTGTTTACCTTCACCAGTACAGTTTTCCCCTCCTGGTTTGTAAATAAGCTCCATTAAATTCTCCCCAAACTGGGTTTAGACCTGCATCCCTTTTGTCGATGAAACTGGCACGCACAGTTGGTTCGTCATGCGTTTTGTTACAGGTTGTGCAGGTTTTCAGTGATCGCGTTGAAAGAGCGATGCTTCCCTTGTCAGATGGAGTCCACAGAATTGAATACAGAATCTTGCACGCGGCTGTTCAAGATGCACTCTGACTTTGCTTTGCTGTGGCCTCGCTCCAAGGAATGCCCCTGCAGGGGATGTCCTGGGGTACAGGACATAAAAGCTGGCAAGCCAGTCTTCAAGCCTGGTTCTAGTGTTTCCCTGAAGCACTGCATTGACTGGATGCATCCGGTGGTAGGCTGGGAAAGGTGCCGTGTAAACGTGTCGCTCAGTGTATTCCTACCTTGCCAAACGCTCTTGGTTTTATTTGCTGGGTCCCGGCTTGGAAAGTCTGTTCTTTCCCTCACCTTGTCACCTGTGCTTCCCCTCTCCTAAATACAGAAGTTTGGGAAGGTGACAAAACAAACATGGAAATGGGTATGTTCTGTGTGCTCCGAGTACCAGTCCATACTGGAAAACAGTGCTCAAGCGTTTTACCTTAGGTCAGTGGTCTAGATGTTCCCTCTTACAGCAAAGTTTCTCAGCTGTGGGGCCCTGTATATAATGCAGAGCATGTCTCCCAGGAGAAGTAAATTAACCTGTAGAACAGCTTCCCTCTGTTTTGCTTTCCCTTGCATTTTTTACAGCACTTGTCAGCAGAAATGTCCTAGGCAGAGGGCTGGGGATGGGGAATGAGCATTTCTTCACTGCTGGTCCCTGTGAAGCAGTAGTGCATGTTGAGCTGCAGCATTTGCCTGCGGCAGGCACGCTGTCGTCAGAAGGACTGCTGTGCACGAGGCAGTCGGAAAAACTCACTGTTTGAATCTGTGGTTGAAGTCGTTGTTTAGGCTTTGTGACTTGCCTCTGCTAGCGCTACCGCATGCGCTTAGAGCCGTCTCTAACGGCGTCGTCCGCGTGATGCGAGTTTGTCTGTTGCCCGGACTGGAGGAGGGAAGGGAACGGTGGACTGATGCTTTTGATCTTGCCAAACAGTTCTGCTGCTGGAGTGGCAGACGAGCGATTCCTTTGTACCGCTACGCCAGCATCCCTCTTCCTGGTGCGTGCTGCCCTCCTGTCGCCGCTAAAATGCCAAGGGCGAAGGGAGGGGGTTAACTCCGTCTTCACAGTTGGCTAGGTTTCCGCGACCACTTCTTAACCTCAGTGTTGTTGCATTCCAGGCTGCTTGGTGCTATTTCACCGTTGTCAGTGTTTCTGTAAGCAGCCATGTTTTGCAGTGGTTTGTTACCTGCCGGTGTTTTGGGTGAGTGGTGCATTTTAATGGTTTGACCTTAGCCTTCAGTAGCAAATTGTCCGTCAAGGTTTTGTAAAGTCTATTGCCTGAAAGAAGTGAGCAGATAGCCCCCAGCCATTTTTGTCTTAACTTTGACAGGCAAGCAGTTGGAGGTCCTTTCTTTCTAAAAATGTTTTGTTAATGTTTTGAGCTCTCACGTAAAGGCTGGTGTTTATTTCTCTTCTGCTTGCAGTGTTGTAAATCCTTGTGCATTGCAGCATGAAATGTTTTTGGTTTTATTTTTATTTTTTTTAAAAAGGGACCAAAGTACCCATCTAGAAGGACACACAGTAAGAACATCAGTGGCTTTCTGGGGTGAAGATAAATTTACAGGTTCATGCACAACACGCCACTAATGCTCAGTTCAAAATTCAAATGACTGCTTTTCCAGGGCCAGTTGCCACCCACACAGTGGCAAAGACATCTTTCTCAGTTGATGTAGTGGTGAACATTTCCCATCTGCCTTTAGGACATGGAAATGTGCCACAAATTGTCAAGAAACTTCAGTACCACTTGTTTCTATAAAATTAGACAGAATTGAAAGGTGAATAAAGGTTTTAGCTTCCAACTTTTGCATGCTTCTCTAAAAGTATCAGGACTGTGATTCTTAACGCTCTCAAGGTCACCCAGCTAATCAGAAACATACCTCATTAAAAATAGCACTGCCATATCTAACACAGCGGGTCCAACCCTGTGTAAAGCCAAGCAGGAAGTAGCTTTCCCCCAAAATTTGAGATTTAAAAGACGAACCCCCGTGTTCCACTCTGGGATGAAATGAAGACCTTTCTTCAAAACGCAGGATGTGCTAGACTCACTAGCCTACCCCTACATAAGCAGTAGTGTTGGCCAAGCACATCTGCTTAGGCTGTAGGAAGCTTGGGTGTAATTGTCCGAGTCACTCTTTGAGAGAGTGTTTTCAGACTCTCGCATCCTTGGTTAATATCCCAGCCTCTGCTCTGGGGGACATAGAAGCAATTGAGTGAAGAAATTTGGAAGCAGCAGTGTATCTTTTCCAGTCCCACTTCTGGCTATATTTGCACTTTAAGAGTCTTCACCTTATTTTTTGGTCAGAGGTTAGGGTCCTGTCGAGCCTTTCAGAGAAGCTGTTCTCTTTGGTTGTGAGCTGGTATTGTGAATTTAACTCCTAGGTGGTATCTGCCAGATAACTGTAAATATATGAAGTCAAATTATGCTTTGTCACAAAATACTACATATGTGGAGAATTCAATGTTGTGGCTGTTATCAATAAATATTTTGTAGACAGATTACCGAGTACTGTAAATTCTGCATTTGTCCAGTGTGATACAAGCTGTTGGTTTCTTAGAGGGGAATGAGAAGAATTATGTATTTTAAAAGCGCCTTAGTTTTAGAAAGTCAAGAGTTCTACAGTGGAAATTGTGATGCGTCTAAAGCTATCCCTACGTTAATTGCCCGTTTTAAGAGGATTCCCTTGCCCAGGAAGGTACCAGGATAGGGAAGCAGTCTTGTGGCAGCTGCTCGTCTGAGGTATGGTGCCCTCGGATGAGTGTTCACAGAAGCCTGTGACGTGGATGTAAGAGCAGAGCCCTTTCTCAGCACAAGGGCGGAGAAGCAGCTTTTTGATTTGGAGTAATAGGAGACTTGGGTCATTACAGTCAAGCTGCTGTTATGGGGGGGGGGAGGTGGCAACTAGCACTGAGCTAACATGGGGTAATACCACGTGGACATCATTTTCTTTTTAAGCTCAAGAGGATGGGGAAGAAATGAAGCTGGAGATAAGTCGACTTGTTATATTGCTTGCTTACACCGTAAGCAGATACCTGGGAAGGCTCCCTCGTTCCTGGGTCCAGGTCCCCGCTGCAGGAAACAAACCTCTTTTCATAGTTACTTCTCGGAGTAGTACCGCTTACATAAAGAGTATTTCTAGTGACAAACTTGTTTTGCAAAATGCAGAAGATGTTTTTGGCATTTCTGCAGCAAAAAACTCCCCTGCAATTTTCTACAGTTGTTTTTTCAGTCTCAGGTCTGTGTAAAATCTATGAAGCTATTGGAAGAAGAGACCATCGTGAGAAATTTTTTTTTTTAAATATTAGGACTTTCATCCTTATGGAACTGGAGCACCTTACAAACAAGTGCTGGGGTTTGTCTGTTTCACTGGGTAATGTTGCAGCTCGTATAAATGAATGATGAAAACGAGAGCGGGGGTTTGGGCAGATGGGAAGCTTGCCCAGACCTGAATTTACCTGCCTAACGAACAGGCCGAAAAACAGATGGTCAGAGTTTAAGGCACAACTCAGTGTGGCGCATCTTGCACGCTGCCATCCCTGTTGGTATAACGAGCATAGCATTTGCGATGCAGCACTCCAGACAAATTTGAAAACCTGGTTTTATTTTACTTGGAGGTCTTCTAGTAAATGAGCTGATGTACTTAATTGCTTGCGTTCTCATCAGTGTTACTGCTATGAAAACAGCCTCACTGTGAATGACAAATGACCTGAATGAACAAGAAAACTGTTGTGTTGTGGACTATGAATTGTTAGAAGTATGTAGATTGCATTGCATGCCATATACTTAAAATGTTCTTAAATAACAGCAAGGCATGTACCTTTATACAGGAGGTTCCTGCACACTTGTGTAGCTTCATCTGATAACAGCATCTTCCATTTCGAAATGGTGCTGCCTACAAGAAGCAACTTTCTCCACTGGAAGAGCTCTGGGCAATTGCTTCAGCTTTTGCGTTGCATTACGCAGGCATGGCCATGTGTAATGCTGTCTTAGCAGCAACGCCCGGTCTTTCAGTAGATCTTGTGTTACAGCAAATGGAAAAGAGGGATGCCTGTAGCTTATGCATCCTGTTTTACAGAACTTAGTTAAGTTCACTTCTGATTAAAATCCAGCTCTTGAGGAGCCTGGTTGGATCTCTTGTGCAAACTAAAAGGCGAGGGGAGGTCACTAGAACGTGGATTTGAGGCTAACTGTACTGTGAGGATCTTAGAAATAGTGCTCTTCAGCTTCTGTGGCCACCTTTGCAATTTCTCATTAGCACAACAAAGAGAAGGGAGTAAGAGGAATGATTAGTTGCCCACTGTTCCTTTCTTGCATGTTCATAAGGAGTTAAATTTTCTTGTTGATCCTCTTGTGCATAATGTTGCCTGTGCGTTTTCAGGTTCCACGTGAGGGAGGCTTTACTGGAAGAGTGTACATGCACAGCAGACATCCCTCAGTCTTGCTTTGATGCTGAATAGCACCGCAGTAGGGGAGCACTGACATCCTGCGTGCCATGCTAACAGTCCGCATCCCTGTTGTGCAGTGGGATGACAAATACAGAGATGTCATCGTAGGATGCTTCGTGGCTGTCATCCAGCATCCACTGGTGGCCTGTTTTCTTTCCTCTCGCTTTGCATACCAAGCGCTTGGCCAGTTCTGAAAACCTGCGGGTGGAAAAAATGCGAGTTCTTGTTTAACAGGACACTATTCCTTAAGAGCAATACTAAGATATGGCTTTGCATTGCCCAAGTAGTGGATTTCTTAGGAGACTAACTTGATTGTTGCTACTTTAGGATGGGGAAAGGCTAGGTAGGAGTCAGTCCTTTCTGAGTCATGAAAAAGAGTGCACTACACCTGCTGGAGTTGACCTAGAAGCCAGGTGAGCTCAGGCTAGTTTTGGTCAGACCAGGTTCTTTGGAAGGGGAAGCAGCAGCAAGACTGGTGTTACCTGTGGGGGTCTGTCCTGTTTTCTGCAAGGAAGCTCCTGACCAAATGGGCCACCTCTTTGTTGCACAGAACATCCCAAAGGCCATCAGTTGCCATGATGAGGACATCATCTTCCTTAATGTCATGCAGAGCAAAGTCAAATACATTCACCTGGAAAGCAGCAGGAGTAAATCAGAGGGATTTCTCACATATGGGAGTGCTAGATATTTACCAAGGGTGGTCATGTTTCCCCTATTGCATCTGGCTTTGGGAAGCATTTAACAATCCTGTGATTCTTTGCTTTCCCTGCGTAAGGGTAATCTCAGGCAGCAAAACTCTTCCAAGTAGGTGACAACCAGCATGTGAGCGTATCCTGTTGCGGTCAGGATGCTGGAAGTAACTTCAGTTGCTGCAGTGTTACAGGAGAGGGCAGGGAGGAAGGTGACTGTTCCCTTGATGGATGACTTAAAGTCAGATCAGGGTGCCCTGAACATCTTGCGTCGCCCTGCTCCTGTGCTTCTAGATTACTGACACCCTGGGGACTCTCTGGGAAGCAAACAGAGATGGAGGGGTGGAAACAGGACAAGGCTGAGACCTGCCAGGTCTGTAAAATGTGGTTATTACAGAGGGGGAGCAACATGTTTAATTCCAGCACCAACCTGCATTTCCTGCACGCTGTGACTAACCTTAGGAATGCAGGAGAGGAAAGGTTTGACTTCAATGTTGGTGTCGATGACTTTGAGTTGATGATCCCCTAGCCCTCGAGAGACAGCCAGAGTCCCCAGCAAGCGAGCCTGGCTCCAAACAAAGCAAATCAGCATTGAAAATCAGGATGTGGCACTGTTAGAGGTAGATATGTGGCTTGTCCTGACTGAGCTGTGTTGCTTATCTGACCCTTCTCCAAATATCCCCCAGAACAGCCCCTAGAGACCACAGAGGTGAAGTGATCAGCATGGCCTGAGGCGAATATGGAGACAGGACTGCCTGCACATGGATGGCCCTTGATGGCAGCAGCTCATGCTGTTGGACCCTGGTATGCTCTGGAGTTTCAGCCTGGTGGAGGTAGCGTGTACTCAGGATAATGCCTCGGACCTCAAGAAGCCCATGGATGCCTCTGCTTTTGATTTAAGGTGGTGCGAGAGATAATTTGGCTTGGTTTGAAGGAAACAGCCCTTTTTCCTTGCACAGGCAATTCTGCACTGAGCCCTTGCGAAAGGGGTAGCATGTGGGCTATAGCACTGGTGGAGGTGACAGCACTCCTCCTGCCTGACTGCAGCATGTACACGCTGGATGTGTGCAGTCATCGCTTCTCCCTGCCTCTTCCTTCCCTCTCCAGACTGCTTTTCTCAGCCTCTTCTCTAGGGAGGGGGTTTGTGGGAAAGTCACTGCTTACTGCTGGAGGAGGTGAGATTTGCTGATAGCATGTGGAGGTGATAACTGAAACAGAGTTGTGCACATAGGGAAACCAGGAAAGGCCAGGCTGGATCAGGGCTGCTGTCTGTCTGCTCCACTAGAAGGTACTAGGAGCAACCTCTCCGCTCCCAAGGGGCCTGGTTTACACTATCCTCCTCTTGCTCTGCTGTCACTAATGGGCAGCACTATGCTAGTGAAGGGAGCTGCTGTTACAGGGTAGGGGGGGAGCTGTGGGCTTGCCCCATGCAGGAGAGCCCTGGAGCAGTGTGTGCTCTGCACCACCAGCGTGGTGGTAGGGCTACAGAGCATGACTGTGAGCAACAGGGATGCTCCGAGCACCCCCAGGAGACTTGCTTCTGCCTTCCCAGCATGTAAAACATGAAGCTACCTGCTTCCCGTGACCATGGACAAGAGGGTACTTGAGGTCTGCTTTCTCCACCATCTTGTATCCCCTAGAACAGAGGATTCAGTGTTGATCTGGGATTTGTCTGACTTGATGGTACAACTCAGTGCGAACGTTTCAACTGCGATTCGACCCTTGGGGTGCTCCCATTCACAGGGAGCTGTGTGAGGGAGAGATGAGGTGACTTGCTGAAGCAGATGCAGTGAAGAATGCTTGCTGAATGCCCAACTCTCTCTCTCTCTCTCTCTCTCCCTCTCCCCCCCCACCCTTCTTCTCCAGCTGGTACTCGCACAAGGCTGGGGCTCCTTGCCTCTGCCCCACCTTGCCGGAGCCCAGAAGGACGGTCTCTCACAACTGTTCCCTGACCTCCCTGCGAGGGCCCCAGCTCGACAGGCAGGAGAGCTACTTCTGTGTAGCCACTCGCAGCACCCTTTGTGTGATCTGGCACAGCTCTGCCAGCTCTTCTCACCAGTGCTGGATTCACACAGCACCTTCTCTTCCCCATCACTACTAACAGCTAAAACTGCTCTGTGTGGCACCCCTGTCCTAGATCTCCTTGCGCAGAAAGGACTCACCAGCCCTCCATGAAGTAATCCCGGTACAGGACTTTCTGGCCCACGTCATCTCCCTTCAACCTCCGTGGAAACTCAAAGCGAGTGAACTCGCCATCCAGGAGCTTGGGGAAGAGAAACGCCTGGAGGGAGGGAACACAGATGTGAGGATGGATAGGCTCTGCTTTGGAGGAGACGGACACTAAGACTATGCACGGCTCCTGCCTTGGGCCTGGCATCCCTGTCTGCAGAATGGGAACAGCCTGAGAACAGCATTGGGAAGCACATTTGAAGGGTGTTACAGGGCTTTGGAGGCATACCCAGGTGTGAGCCTCTGCCGTACTAAAAGCTGTTGGTTGAATCTTGTTCCTAACCCTCCAGGGCTAGTGACAGATGGAGTTCTGGCCGCACTGTGCTTGCTGCAGCCTTCAAGGAAGCAAGTTGTGCTCTTGCCGCAAGGTCTCCCTGACCCTGCCCTACTGGGATGCTCTCAGCTGGATCGTCTGATAAGTGAAAGGAGTCACTCACCAAATGCTGGATTCGCTGCCTCTCTGTCTCGGGTGTGAACTCGCAACTCATGGGCACAATATCGTCCTTCAGAACAAGAATTGCCCTACAAGGGGGAGAGGCAAAGAGCTGAGCAGTGTCCTCCTCTCGTGAGTGTATCGCTCACGGCAGACCTATCTCCATTGACCTCCTCTTGCTGAGGCCCCCCAGGCAGGTGTGGGGCCTGGTGTAACCAGGGCAGAGCAAGGCACGCCAGACAACAGGAGGCACGAGCGCCTCCGTCCATCCGACGGGTCCCGTGGCAGGCATCAGGGAAGCGTCTGGGCAGCTGTGCCCCAGCACAGGAGGGCTGTATGTTTACCTTTCATGGGATTAAGTAAGGTGGTGGAAACCCTGCTTCTTTCCCAGCTCCTGCCCTCTAGCAACTTCCCCCTTTACTGTGGCTCACCTGCTGTCCCCAGCGTTAGCCACGTACAGCTTTCCCTGGAGGTAAAGGGCTGCCAGAGCTGTGCAGCCTCCAGTCTGGTTAGTTGCTTCCATCTCCTGACCAATTACTTCATCCTGTTGGTTTAAACAAGTTTGGAGAATGATGTGAGCTAGGGTGCTGATCTCTACAGCTGCCTCGTGCCTCCTAGCAGAAGTCCAGAGCAATAACTGACTGCAGATAGTCTCCAGGAAACCAGTAAGGCAAAAGACAGTGGTGCTTGGGTACAACCAACAAAGCTTCTGCTACTGGTCTGGATATTAAGGAGTGCTTTAGGAGCCTGATGGGGAGTTGTCAAAGGCAAAAAAGAGCTGTCGGGAGTCTGGCAATGGCCGCTGTCTAGTATCTAGTGTCAGAAGAAATGTATGCCCTGATGTTTTGGACAGCAGTGGGAGCAGGGCTTATGAGCAGGCAGAGCTGCTGTGGCTTGGCTCTGCCTCGGCATTGCTGTCGCACGTGCTGCTGGCAAGTGACAGGTCTAATGCAGAACGCCCCCAGCAGATCTGACCCAGGAGGATCTCGGCACGTTTAAGAGCGGTACTCTCAACTGTTCCTGCCTGCTCGGTGAGCTGCAGAAACGGATCTGGGTGACCTCAGCCCAGCCTGACTGCTGAGGCACCTGCACAAGCAGCAGCTGCCTGCGTGGCAGGCTGAAAGCGCCTGTGTGATCAGCGGCTGGTCACGTCCCAACATGAGAGAGGCCTTGCCCGCCTAGGCAGTGAGGAGAGGCTGGCAGCAGTGGGGAGGGTGCCCAGAGAGGGAACTCACGCATTCCTGGAAGGCGTTCTCCAGGGCTCCCACCACCATGTCTTCTGCATGGATCTGCTTCTCCTGCACGAACTGGGGGTCGCTGTCGCAAACGCAGCGTCCGCTCAGATGCATGGGGGGATGTGCCTCTGTGATGCCCCCCGCAACCTCCTCCAGCTTCTGCTTGATGCAGTAGTGCAAATAGTTGGAGGCAATGATGGCAGCTTCAGGGCCACCGTGGCCATCAAACAGCGCCCAGTAGGAACCGGTCAAATACTGCAGTGAGGAAGACAGACAAAATGGTGAAGGGGAGCTTTGGATAGGGAAACAAACAGGGGGCTTGGAGTGAGGCCATGTAGATGGCAGAATCAAAGCCAGGACTCGGATGTATGTTTTCTGTCTGGCTCTTCCACCCCAGCTGCCCTTACCTGCAACTGGTTAATCCCCTGCACAGCGCAAACTGATGTGACACCCGTTTGCTGCTCTCCCAGACCTGCAAGTGCATCATTATCTGAGCTGCTGGAGTCGCAACCACAGCTGAATGCATGCACCATCACCCAAACTGTCCCTCCTCTGCATTTTAGGGAAGATGGGCCTGCTCTGTTCAGGGAAGAGGCAGAGCTGTTCCCCGTCCCCATAAGGTGAGAGCATCTGGTGCGCCTGGCTTATGCTGCCGTCTGTGTGTAACGGTAACTAATGTACGCAGGCCCTTGAAAGCCAAAGAAGGAGAGTATAGGGCTAGGGCAGCCAACGATGCCCCAAAGCTCGGGCCAGGAAAAGAGCAGTGGCAGGTGAGCAAAGAGAAAGACAGAGGCAGCAGAACACAAGCAACAATCTGACCGAAAACGTGTACAGGCGGAACCGGCCTTTTGCTAGCCAGACACAGAGTACGTGGGCCCCCGAAACACATCCAAGCAAGTGTTTCAGCTTGTGCCCTGGTGGGTGTGTAGGACTGATGGGGCAACCCCATGTTTCCCACACGTGGGGCCTCAGACGTGGATCGGGGCCTGCAGCAGGGTTAGGGCAGCCAGACGGCAGGCTACGTACCTGCGTGGAGCACAGGATCAGCCACTCCTCATCCTCCTCCAGGCCTGGCTCTCTCCTCCGGATGGAGATTTCACAGCACGCCGCCTGGTCCTCGTTGAATTCTGACTTCTCGGCATTGATAACCCTGTGTGTGCAAACGCAGGTAAGACGCGATAGCATACTGAACGCTGCCTGCTCCCAACCAGCCGTGTTACGTTGGGCAGCCACAGCAAAGTGGTGGACCTGGGAGAGATCCTTAGCTCCTTCCTTCTACCCCTGCACTTGCTGATCCTTCAAGGATCTCTTGGACAGGAACCTAAATAACAAGTCCCTTGTGCACAGCTGGGAAAAGCTTGAGTGGTTTGGAGCACCCTGGCCTCAGGCAGCCCTTGTCAGCAGCCAAGGCAGGAGCTGAGCAGTGCTATTTCCTTGGTGACACAGTGAATTGCAAAACTGCTGCTGTTGTTCTTCCTTCCAGCCTTGCTTATACTTGTCCCAGGGTGGAAGTTTGCCACCATTGTACAGCTCATCTCTCCGCACGTTGTAGTCCTACAGCCACGGGGTCGTGATGTGGTCCTGCCGCGACGGCCCGGGGCTCTGCTGGCAGCAGCAGCTTCCCTGGGCTACTGGGACCAAGGCACAGTTCCTGGCTCACAGATTTCAGAACAAGTTTCTGGACTTTGAGGCTGGCAAAGGCCCAGGGCTCGGACAGCCCGGCAAGGTATAAGCTGTCCAACCAGTTTTTCACTTTCAGGTTCCCCCTAGGCTTTTGCCTGGTCTCTCTTTCCTGGCCCAGCCTGGAAAGCAGAGGAGGAACAGGTGCTGAGCCACTTCCCCATTTATTTTTTTCCACTCAGATCCTAGATCTTTCTTCTTCCTCCCCCCCGCCATTCCTGTGCCTGCTGTGTCAACTGGCTCTTGTCCCCCAGGAGCTTTGTGCTCTGGCTCATCTCTGCCCTTTAAAAAAGAAAAAAAGCAAAGTCTGAGCTTTCCTTGCCCTTTGCTAGGAGCAAGGGGACAGTCGTCGTTGTTGGGGGGGCACGGCTGACCGGCCTCCTCCCCTTCTCGCGCCGCAGCGGCGGTCTTTGGGAGCAAAAAGCCCCTCGCTCCGGCCTTCCCTCTGGGCCAGCCTTCCCCGCAGCCCTCCGCAGAGCCCTACAGCAGCCCAGAGCGGGCCCAGGTGGGCCGCCAGGCCCCGCGGCGCGGCCCG